GAAAGTGAGGGAACACTCAAACTAGATAGATAGTTGATTTTTTGTATCAAACATGTATCTTTGGAATGTTTGGTATGTAGTAGTGGACAAAACTGGACACAATATCGATATAGTTTAGCTTCTTTTTCTTCATTAAAACTGTGATATTGAACCAATGAATATCAGTTTTCAATGTGTAACGAAAGAAATTTGAAAGTCTCTATTATGCTGTATATGTCAAGAGTATACAAATTATTTAAAGCTTATGCATTTTGTGACTAATGCAGGCAAAATGTATTGAAGTTGCTGCTCTAAAAAAAAAAAATAAAAAATAAAAAATAAAAACCCCATTCAGGTGCATACCAATTCACAACTTCTGAATGTATGCAGTATTCTTCCCTATTGACTTGTGGGATTCTGTGCTGCAAAGCATGAAGCTTCAGCAGAATGAAATATGTCTAAATAGTTCTACGGTTTCTTTGGATGATATATAAATCTTTGATACTTAATTATAACCAACATTTCTTGCGGCATGTTTCTTGTTTGAAAACATAATATTTTTCTAGTTCTCTGTCGGTAGAACTGTAGTATCTGATTCCATTTTGTTCATCTTCTCATTGATGACTTTCTTAGCGAAACTACCACAACTTATAATTTTCTTTCTAATTATCAGATGCTTGGGGATGTCCGTCAAACTGCAAATAGTGTTCAACTCTCAACTGTTCAAGATTACATGTCAAAGTTTTTCAGGTCATATATCATTTCTTTTAGCAGTGGTCAGGGACGTTGCATAAATATTTTTTAATTTTAAGAATGACTCTTTGACATGGTGAATCATATTTCTATTTCAGGAGATATGGATCATTGGTGGCTAGAAATCCAATCCTATTATTGTTTTTGTCATTGGCTATTGTTCTTATGCTTTGCATTGGTCTTATTCGTTTCGAAGTAGAGATGAAGCCTGAGAAGGTATAATATGTAGCAATAGATTCTGATGCCTCATATAAAGTATTGCTTAAGACAGTGTTGGGGACTTCAGTTTTATGTTTCATTACAATAATTTATGTTGATGCATACAAATTTATTTGATTTCTATTGTTTCAGCTATGGGTAGGCCCAGGAAGTAGAGCTGCCAAAGAGAGAGAATTTTTTGACAGCCACCTAGCCCCTTTTTACAGAATTGAGCAGGTTATTCTATATACACACGTATACATATATGTTACAGATTGGAACTGGTTTTATGAAAATTTTTGTTTACTTATAGTAACATCTTATCTAAAAACTTAAGCCGTCAGAGAGGGCTACATTTATTTATTTGAATCTTGTTTTCAACACCCCCTCCTCACTTGTAGACCATATTCAAATTTTATCAAAGGTCTTCCACAATTACTGGTTAGAACAATCTAGATAATAGTCTTTCTGTTCATACACCAATTGGAAACTATACAAGAGTTATATAGAGGTCTCTTGAAAACTAAAACGGAGAAAATTTCCTACAACCTAGCTAATTGTCAATTGCAATGAATTGCTAATTATATTGGAATCTTAATTACAAAGAAATAAATTTGTCAACAACACACAAAAAATAAAGACACTCATCATGCTATGAAAAAATTCTTCGCTACACAACACGTACACACACACATAGATTTTTATCTGGTTTTCTTTCTGTTATATCAAAATATCTCCAGAAACTCTTTATATTGTACTATCGATTGTTTGGGCAGCCAAATAGCACAAAAGAGGGGCTCATTAAGGAAAGAATATGATAGCAAAAGCACCCCTAAGCTACTTAACGAGCATATCAGCAACATACACTGAACCAGTTATGAGTTTGGGTCTGTAATAAGAAAAGAACAGCATATTAAGCTATTTGCCAAGCTGATGAATTGCATTAGAGCTTAACATTTATGTCATACTTCATTTATTGGATATGTAGAATTAACTTATATGTGTTCACATGTTGTTCTATTGATTTTCAACAGTGCTAAATAATGAACTAAATTTAGCAATTTAATTTAAGTAAAATCTAATTCATGTTATTTGGACACCCTAGTTTGCAAAGTTCAAATTCCAGTTTTGATGCCCTCACCTCTCACAAACACACACATGAATAGAGAAACTAACAGAGAACTTTTGCAGCTAATTATAGCAACAATTCCAGCCTCTGTGAATGGAAAAGCACCGAGCATTGTGACAGAAAGCAATATCAAATTACTATTTGATATCCAAAAAAGGTAAATACATTATTGTGTTCCACTATAGCACATAAATGTGAAGAGATTCCTTTAATTTTGTTTCATCTTTAAGGTATACATGAATATTTACTCTGATTAAGCTAGAAGATTCATAGTGGTTCACACATTATTAATCTTGATAGGTGGATGCGATCAGAGCTAATTATCTTGGTACAATGGTATCTTTTGCTGACATTTGCCTGAAACCACTTGGCATGGATTGTGCTACGCAGAGTGTTCTTCTGGTATACTGATTTCATAAATCTTAACAATATTTTGCAGATTTCTAAATAAGCTCTCTGTCCATCTAATCTTGATCATTTCATGTAAAGAAGGTCAAAGTTTTCAAGGTCTATTATTTTGTTAATGAATATCAATTTCCCTTTTTATGTTTTACCGAAAATCCTATAACCCATTTCATAGGACACATATCACTAAATGCACTAATGATGATTTTTCCAACTGTCACAAGGCTTTATTACTTT